ATGAAGTCGCAGGTCATCGCGAGCTCGCAGCCGCCGCCGAGCGCGAACCCGTTGACGGCGGCGATGATCGGCGTCCTCACGGACGACAGCTCGTCCAGCTCGCCGAAGAGTCGCGCCTTGTGCATGTCCATGTACGAGAGCGGCTGCATGGCCTTAATGTCGGCACCGGCGGCGAAGGCCTTGTCGCCCGAGCCCGTGACCACGATGGCGCCAATCTCCGGGTCGGCGTCGAACCGTTTCACCTCCTGCACGAGCTCACGCACCAGCGTCGGAGACAGCGCGTTGAGCGCCTTTGGCCTGTTGAGGGTGATGAGCCCGACCGGACCGCGGCGCTCCTCGAGGATGCACGTCAGCGGGGAGGTGCTGAGCCGCCGCTGGGCAACGAGAGCGGCCGGGCGGCCCAGCGAGGAGGCGGCGGGACGGCTCGAAAACATGTTGTTGTTCTGAGGACCGAGCACGTCTCGGCCGGCCGGAAAAATTAGCGTTCTCGGGTCCGAGGGCAGCCTCAACTGGAGTAGGGAAATTTGGATCTTGGTCAAACGCCTGCTGGGGGCAGCTTCGCGGAAGTATTCCGGAAGCCAGATGATCCCCCAGCAGGCACACACACACGGAGGTGACAGGGGATGGTGGTGGGTTCAAGCAAAGAAGGGGAGGGAGAGAGCGACGCGGCGAGCGCATGCGGCGAGCGTGCACGTCGCCTGTGCGGCGTCTTGTTCACTCCCCTTTGAGCTACCTTTGTGCCCCCTTAGGGGCACCCCTCCTGCGCTGCGCGTATGGTCACCCCTCCCTTCCGCCCTGTTGTTTTGGATGCCCCGCTCCGAGAAAGCATGTCTCGCAGCTGCGAGAAAAGACCTTCTCGGGTCCGAGGGCAGCCTCAACTGGAGTAGGGAAATTTGGATCTTGGTCAAACGCCTGCTGGGGGCAGCTTCGCGGAAGTATTCCGGAAGCCAGATGATCCCACTTGTCAACAGCAGGCGCCAGCGCCAATCAAATCTCCCTAGTGATGTTGACAACGGGCAGTCGAGATGGGCAATCTGACCATGAGTCGTTCATCAGGGGATGAACTCCACGTAGTAGTTAATGGATTCCGATCGGCCAACCGTCTCGCGACAGTGCCACCGAAGAACAGTGGGAGGGCTTTACCGACCCGACTCGGCTGAGCCGTCGGTGCCCGCCGCCCTCGCGCGATCGCGCTCGGCTTGCCCAAGGCAGGGGCCGAGCATGCCGGAGAGGTAGGCGATCACGGTCCACGGCGCGTTTCCCTCGACCTCTAGGGTGGAGAGCGGGGTGCAAGCCAGCGGGGCGAGGCATGGCGCGAGGGCCGCGCGCGCAGCCGCCGCCGGCCTCGCCGCAGACGCCGCGGCGCTGGCTCGGCGAGGCGCCCCGCGCTGCGCATGAGCAGCGTCTCCCGCCAGCGCGGCCGCGGCGGCGAGGCCCCCCACCGGGAGGAGATCGGGCTCTTTCACCTCCAGCGCCGCTGGCGACACATCGAGGCGGTCGATCGCCAGCTGTAGTGCAGCCGAAGAGGAGAAGGGGGCTGCGTCGAGGAGCCCGCACGTGAGCAGCTCGTTCAGAAAGCGAGCCCACGCGGTTCCGGTGAGAGCGAGGTCCAGCGGGCAGACCATCGGGGCGGGAGTACCGGCGGGGGGCGCCGCGAGGCGCAGCCGCCGGCCAAAGACGCGCAGCATCGCGTGGTGCGGAAGCTGCACGCGCGCTGCTCCGCTCGGCGCAGCCGCAACCGGACCCCAGCGGAGGACGGCAGTAGCCACCACCAGCGGGTGGGCAGCGGGGCCCTGGACGGGGGCGTCGGGCCCCGCGTGAACGCAGTGCACATCGATCGGCGGTACTGCCGCGGCCATCGCGCCCGACAGGGGCCGAGCGCGGCTCGCAGAAGCTCTCTTTATTCCCTAGTTCAAGCAAAGAAGGGGAGGGAGAGAGCGACGCGGCGAGCGCATGCGGCGAGCGTGCACGTCGCCTGTGCGGCGTCTTGTTCACTCCCCTTTGAGCTACCTTTGTGCCCCCTTAGGGGCACCCCTCCTGCGCTGCGCGTATGGTCACCCCTCCCTTCCGCCCTGTTGTTTTGGATGCCCCGCTCCGAGAAAGCATGTCTCGCAGCTGCGAGAAAAGACCCTTTTCGCGAGACTGTCTGCCCGCACCGACGAGCACCGCGGCGCTCATGCGGCCGCTCTTTACCTATCTCTTCTTCTTCCGCCTCCTCCCCCCCTGCCCGTTCGCGCCGCCGCTCGTCCCGCCGCTCTGCGCCGCGGCCCTCGCCATCATCGCGGCGCGCACCTCGGCGTGCGACGGCGGCGGCGGCGGCTGCACCAATCGCGCGTGCGCTCGCGCCTATCAACTTGATCATGGGCCGTTGCTCATAGGCCATGACTAGCTCATACAAGAGGCCCACCCCTCGTCTCTCCTCTGGCGGCGGCGCGATGAGCTCGGCGGAGGCGAAGTCGCCCTCGAAGAACTCCTCGAGGATGATGGCGGCGGCGACGTCGTCGATCGACTGCGGGACGGGCGCGAGAGGGCACGCGGTGGGCGCGAGGGGCTGGCGCGAAGCGGGGCGGCCGCCGGGGGGGTGCGAGGGAGAGGAGCGCCTGGCCGTGTGCGGCACCGTCGCCGGCGTTGGCGCGCATGGACGCCTCCGCTGACGAGAAGCGCTCATCCCAGAGGTAGACGGGGCGCGGCGCCGCCTCACGTGCCAGAAGCTCTCCAAACCGGCGGGTGGCTACCGCCTGCTCGCCTTCGCCGCCCGAGCTGTTGTACGGCATGCCGAGCACGAGCTGGGATGCGCCCTCGGACCGAGCCGCGCGCACCACCTGCGCCGCGACCGCCGTCAGGTTGGCCGACTGGTCGTCGATGATGCCGATCGGGAGCGGCGCGATGCCGGCCGAGACAGCGAGGCCGGTGCGGCGTAGACCAAAGTCAACGCCGAGCGTGCGCGTGCCGAAGCCGCGCGCCGGGGCGCAGGCCCGAGACGCCAACCGCGCGGCCAGGCAGAGGAGGGCCAGGACCATATGTAGAGGCGTGACAAATCGGGAGGAGTCGCAAGCGAGAGCTGGGTAGACCAGGCCGCGACGACGAGACGACGAGTGGCTGGATCGCTGGGCAACTAAAAGAATTCTTGGGACACAAGCCTCTCTCACAGCACACTGGCACGACAAGGGCGCAGACTGGCGCGGACTGGCACACACACAGGCTCAACTAAAAGAAAGGGATCGGCCCGCACACACCACACACACACGCGCGTCCTCCCATCCCTCCCTTGGGTTGTCTGTTTTCTTTCTTTCTTTTTACACACACGCGCACCACACACCTCTCCTTAAAATCCCTGTGTGGTGGCGGCGTGCCGTCCTCCCATCCCTCCCTTGGGTTGTCTGTTTTCTTTCTTTTACACACACACACACACACACACACACACCCCACACGTCCCCACCCCACAACCCCGCCCCAGCCCTGATCGAACCAAGCGTCCTCGGTTTGCCGGGGTCGGGCACAAATTGCTATCTCGGCTGATCCCCGTATGCACGATCGTGAGCGAGTCCCCGGTT